CAATACGGATTGTGGTAGGTCTTGGGATTTCCTCTATCTTTTACAGGAAGTGTTTTCCAACTGTCTCTCTGGTTCTTTCCCCCCATTTTCCCGCATTCCATCAGCTGAGATAGCGCCTGATTAACGCGGACAAACGACTGCAACTAAGTTACTATCATTGCGATATCTGCAATCTGAGCAACCCGTAATCGACATTAACAAATGGAACGAATTCTATGGAAATTTATCACACAGTGCAATGGATTTGTCGCTCTTTACCGCCGCCATGTGATTTTTATTTATCATTATTATTATTATCGTTATTGTTGTATTTATAGATTGCCGGTTGCAGTTGCAGTTGCAGTTTGCCGTTTCCGTGCTTCATTATTATTATACACATTTGAAAGGGTAAACAAATCACCGGACAACAAACTAGAAATCTACACGTGAGAGTGCGAATAATTTGCATTTATGCGAGTGCAATAAAAGTTATTTATCTCGCGGGTCGTGATTCGTGATCGGTGATCGGTGATCGTAGTGTGAAATGGTCCAAGTTCTGGGGAAGTACCTCTTGCGGTGGCATTTGCATTTCGGTGGGAACACTTTAGCTGACACCGGCTTATGCAAAGCCATAATTATTAATTGCAAATGCAGTTGTTATTTACGATCCCGCCTAGTTTATTTGACAGTTTATGACATATTCCCCGATGAGACGCCCAACTAACTTAGCCTCAAGTCTAGAACCTATGAATATTTAGCCTTAGTCGGGTCTCGCAGGGCTAGAATGATCTATGGATTTTATTGTCCGGGTCGAGCTCTCGGCTGGACTGTAAAAATAAGCGTAGCGTGGCCAAAACACGCCCACCAATTTGCCAGTTCGCCACAATGTGTGCAAATTGTTTCATTAGGCGACTTTGGGCGGCAAAAACAATGCCAAAATATTCCAACAAGCGCGTGGTCAGGCGCTCAGGTAATCCCCTCACGTTCCACAACCATATCGAAAGCTTCGCCACCAAGAAAGCCAAAAGTATTGGCTCTGTTGGTTAGCAGAACCATTCTGTATTATTCAACCCGGCTACTTATTACAGCGTATTACAGCGGGGCCATATAATTTCATCACTGCCATTACCGGCAAAAAACAAATAGTTCCAGTGCATACTTGAAATTGCTACTAATGAGTTTTAGTATCGGTTTTTATGTTAGGCTTGCTAATTGCCAGCCTAATGGGTATAAGCCCAATCGGTTATGAAGCGAAATTCGCAATTGCAGGCCTGCAAATGTGGCGATTTGTCTATGCTTTCACCTTGGCTCCACCGCATGGCCAGTTTTATTTTCAGTTTTATATTCATTAGCATTTGCATTGCCGCATTTAACGGACGGCTGCCACGAAAACATGTGTCGGTCGCACACGGCACATCAAAATATTATACAACATAAACAACATAATTAGCTCGAAATGCAAATCGCGGAATCCGCGGCAGCGAGAAAGCGCAACCAAAGGGCAATTTATTAAAAGCCCATCCGTCGGATGCATCTCCGATTGGTGAAAGTTGCAGGTTGCTGGGGCAGAGGGCCTAACCCCGAGCTAATGAAGCGGACAATTTATTAATAAAATGCACATTAGCCCACGTTTATGGCCCCTCACAACACGCGGACTTGGCCGAATGAATTTTCAATTAAGCGCCAAAATCGTGGTCCAAACCGACGTCGAGTTTACAAGGTGGAAGCTGGAAGACACCCATAGCCATGGCTATATCCATAGCTCCAAACGACTAACTCCAGACTCAGACGAATCGCCGCCGATGCTTGAAAGCGAAACCGGTTGGCCAACTGCCGCTGGCTGAAAGGCAACGTCATACGCAACATTTGACCCACTTTTTGTGCAGGCGGCTAAAACCGAAACCAAAACAAAAACCAAAATTAAAATTGGCAAGCCATTCTCTCCCACCAAACGGGTCGAAAACGGTCACCAAATGTGAGCACTTACACATTTCTATATATATTTTTATGGGGTCAACATTGCTTGTCCAAATAAAACATATATACATATATTTTATTGCACAAACAAGCCCAAAACAATTAAATTGATTTTAGCCTCGAGAAAAATAAATATTTAAAAACTACAATGGTTGTGTAAATAGTATTGAGCCGATATTTAAATATTAATTTAAGCCCATTGACCTAAAACGCAAAATGTATTTAAAGGTATTCTACTTTTCAAGGGTGATTACCAGAGATTATAGCCAGTTTTTTTGGATCTCCATGAACTGTTTATTTATGCTTTGACGAGAATCTTTTTAAGAGCCATACACTGGCTCAAATTTGTTTACCTCCCGTGTCAGAAGTGGAGCTTTTTCATAATACCATGCGTTAAATTCGCCCGCGATGTATTTATCATTTCCTTTAGACTTTGAGCCAACATTTCCAACTGATGCTGAATTATTTACTTGGATTTTGCCTTAACTCAAAGGTGAATGAAAGGTTTGGAAGCAAAACAGCAATAAATAAAAAATGCAAGCAAACAAAAGCAATAAATAGCTTTTGCCTCTGCAAGGGCAAAGATTTTGCAATTTGATGTGTTTGCCTTTGTAAATGGCAAGCGAAAATGTGGCGCTTGTGAAAATATTTGTTCAAAACGTTTTCCATATATGGAGATATGGTAGAGTGTAAAAGCTCTGCCACGGGGGTCAGCTAGCGAACAATTAAGAGCTTTATTTAGATAAGTAATTTGAATTAGAGTTATGCGAGCTTGGTCTTCGGCACAACACAAAAATATAAAAATATGTAAGGTTTTTACTTTATGCTGGCAACAAAAATGCATGGATTTGCCTTTAAAAAAATTAACAAGAAAACCAAAGTATTTTTTGATTTAAATTCCATAAAAATAGCAAAAAATTGATTTTGGGCTTGGCTCTGCAGAACTGCATGAAATGGCTATTTGGGATTGGGTCAAGCATGGAATGCGAATTAGTAACTGACAAACGTTCTACGCTCTAAAAGTTTAGCAACATTGCAATCTGTGCACTTCAGTTTAGCAATATTACAGCCTGTGCACTTCAGAATGTTATATTGCCAGCACAAAAAGGCAGTTGGTTCAACTTTTATGCTTAATTCAAGTGAAATATTTACCTCAATTGCGTTGCCAAACAAAAGCAAAATTAAATTCTATCTTCATAAAAATGTATAAAAAGTTGGTGTGTTCCGAGAAGCCCAACTAAAAGAAAAACAAATAAAAATGCAAATAAAAGTTGTACGATTCAAAGTTATGGGCGCGCTGCAAGATACTGTAGACGTGAACCCAAATCATAAAAACCCAACAGGAAAACTCCGACGAACGAGTTAACTGCGATGCGCTAACTGTTCCTATCTTGGGCGCTGCCATCAGAGGAACATCAAAGTGCAGCAGTGGGGGTTCGGATTGGATTTGGGATTCGGAATGGGATTGGAAATGCACAGAGAACAAATCGGGAAAGGAATTGGTCAAAAATCGTGAAATGATCAATATCAAAATATTCTAAGCAAGACGTCGAAAAATATCCTCCTTGTGTTAAAAAGTAGAGGGATTACCCAGACCAAGTAAGAACAGATTTCAATTATTAAAGAAGTAATAATATTATTATTAGTATTATATGCACCTTAACTAAATAAATAAACACATTGTTTATATAACATTTAAAAATATTCGTTTTCCAAGCACTTTTAAAATGATCATTAAGTTAATCTTAATATTTTAATAAACGTATAAACAAATGGAAACTTGTATATATATTTTGTATACCCCTATATATTTTATTAGCCATATTAATAACATAGTATAAAAGGAACAAATGATATCTATGTACTAAAAAATAAAATTTAATTAAATATAAATTTATAGTAGATTAAGTCACCATTTTCACACTCTTTTGAAATTAAAAACTATTATGAATTGCTAGTACATTTTTCTACTGTGTAATAATGGGATTGGGACTTGGATTGGGGCTCGCAGCAGCCAGCGACAGCGGTTACAGATGCAGATGGAGATGCAGACAAAGATACAGATACATATAAAGTAGGTTGCTGCAGGTTTGTTTTCCTGATAAGCTCGCGCCATGAGATTAGCCTGTTTTCCCTCCACCTCCCTACAATTTGTTTTTCTTTTGCCGTCTTTGTGTGTTCTGCGTATTTGGCTGCGGTTTAATTTTATGGGCCAAAGATTTTATTTTGTAACTTAATGTTTGTTTAGCTTGTAGAAGATTCGGAGCAGCAGGTTGTTGGATCTTCTTTTATTTCGGTACTCATCTGCTTTCAAGCGAAATGCACTAAAATTCAGAGATCTTGGGCGACAGCCATTTACATTTTATATCCTTTTTTGGGATTACACTTTAATTGCAGTCATTTGTAGTGCTTAGTAGGTACTATTTAAACAGCATTATTCTGTCAATCAACGAATTATTTGCCAAATTAGTTGATAACTTGACTGTGGCACACATTTTGGTAATCATATTCCCTTCACTATCTCCATCTTCCTATTTCCCTCTATCGGATTACTAAAATGCAATCAAAGCATGGTAATCTTATCAAAAATGTTGTCCCCGCGGGCAGCCAATCGAATAATTATTCTTAATTGGCCCAACCAAGTTAACACTTTGCGGGCTTAATATATATTTTAATGAACTATTCAAATTGTACATGCAGTCGTCAGCCCATTCACTAATTAAACTTTATTTAATGAAATTAAAACGACCACAAAATCAAGATTATTTTTTGTGCAGAAAAAAACTAATCAATGTTTAATTATAGGAACTGTCTATAGAATAGAATTCAGCTTCCTACACCTGCTAAACAATCACTTTGCTTTAAATAAAAGCTGGTTAAAGCGATAGCTTCCGTGTGTTTTTAAAATACCACGGATGGGTGCTCATTGAACCCCCAATAAATGGAGGGGGTTAATGTCTATCTGTAGGTTGATAAATTACTTATCTAAAACTAAAAGTTCCCATTCATGTGGTCTGAAATTAATATTAGTTCAGTTTGAAGTCATGTCTTCATCCAGACGGTTCTTCAATTTCCTGTTCTTGGTTTTACTTTTGTTTTTGTTCATTACTCTCTATTTTAATATAAATTTCTTTGAAAGAGGTCCGCAAAAAAGACATCTTAAACATGAATTGGATCCCCTGTACGAGGAGATCAGGATACTCTGCATGATACCGTATGATTATAATAACCCTAATACTGCCAAATATTTAAAACGCACTTGGGGAAAGCATTGTAATGTGTTGCTTTTTGTGAGTGGCAACACCGATGGTGAATTGGAACCGTACGTGCCTGTGATCAATTCCACGAATACGTGGACTTTGGTCCAGCGGGGGCTAATGCACGCCTATCTATTTTATGCCGACCAAGTCGATTGGTTTCTCAGAGTAGAGGCCTCTAGGTAAGACCCCGTATTATTCACCAGATCGTAAGTTAATTTGAATTGTATGTGAATGTGAACGAAGTCATAAATTTCCGGCGCATTTTTCGTCATCTGCCTTTATCGCTGGAATATTGTTATGATATACTAAACATTCGACTGCCACTCTTTCATACACTGAAAATTAAAATTAAAGGTTTTCATATGAAAAAAACATAGAATACATTTTTAAATATTTGAAGAAATTTTACTTTGAATTAAATTTATGATTTAAATATATAAAATTTCTTAAATACCGATAAATTGAAAACTACATTTTAAAAATACGTGTTTAAAATTGTAACATGCACAAAAAAACTATATAAATTATATAGCAAGCATATTTATATCTCAACTTATTTGTAAACCAATTTCTCAATTTTTTCCGTGCCTTATTCATTCTTGATGTTTATTTTTATGAGCGCTAAGTTCGGTGGCCGCCTCACTCAACATATTTTGACTTCTTCATTGATAAAGTTATCAGTCAGCCTTCGGCAGAGTTTGTTTGTGCTCGAGTTTGGGTTTGGGTTGTTGTTTGTTGGATGTTCTCGTTTACGTTGAGGTCTACGTCCCGTTTTCAGTCGGTTCCGTTCTATTCACTCTAATGTAGATCGATTTTTCTTCGGCTTCCTTTTGTGGTTTGGCCCTCAGAGTGTTTCCTTTATCGAGGAGCTGGGGAAGAAACGCCAAGGAAGTGCGAGTATCTACAGGCGGTAGTTTATCTGTCTTTTGTAGGGGAACACAATGCAGTTCCCCATTCTCCTCCTCCTCATTCCTCTGTGCATATGTCGCTTGATTGCTCTCCAGGGAGGTTTGCCGTCAAAATTGGAACAAATTTCAGTTCGAAGTTGGAAACGAAAATTTTCCCATGGATTTCTATTCACGGTGCGGAATGCCATTAGCATAGTTTGCCTCAGATTATGCTGATAACTTGACAAATGAATTTTTATTCAGAAAGGGCCAACCACACAACCCTATCCCAATATTTTCCAATATATTTCAAATTCAAACTACAAAATTAGACATTTATTGACAAGTATCAATGTGCCACTCTATTTGGCCGACATTCATTAGTGTAAATATATTTGCCATTTGCGCTATCAATTTGTTTTGATTTTTTGCGCACTTTGCAAAATGCAATTCAATTAATCTATGTACTTCTGTTTACACTCAAATGCCAAGTTAATGGCTATATAAATGTCGGAATTTCTATATGCAGTCGTCGTAAATGATATTGATTAGAGCGCATTATCAAGAGTTTTTAGTATTGAAAAAAAATGCGTGCCAGGGGTCAATTAAGTGTGCCGGAGTGCTGTCGATGGAAATAGTATTTTCCTAATTTATGCCGTCATACATAATTGGGAATTTATTGGATGTGATGTCAACACCAGCCGTAGAATATTACAAAATCAATTGAATTAGGATCGGAATATTTATTCCCTGTTTAATCGTCTTTGAAATGACTTGATAACTCGACTGGGCGGATACTCCGTGTGGTCGTTGCCCGGCAATTAAAAGTTTATGTCTATAGTAACAGTCATTAAAGTTGGTTGTTTTATTGACCAGCTCCAGGTTGGAAACAGAATATCATTCGCACAGCCCAATGGCGGCTTAACTTCTGTCTTTGAACATATTTAATTACAAGCTTTCGCCTGATGACAAAACAATGCGAAATAGATACATTGTGACTTCTACGCCTTTAAATCTAAGTATATGGCACCTTACCTATGGACATTATATACAATTACTGGCTGTTTGGCAAATAATCAACGCAGTGTTTATGCTCTTCCACATTTTGTTTATCGATTTCGGCCAACGCTGTTTGCGTCTCACATTTGCGGCTTGAACTTGGACTTTGCTTGCCATGCGTGTCCACAATTCATTCAAAAACGGATCTCACCATGTTGTTTTCACGGCTTTTTTAAATAGCACTTGTTTGCCTTTCGTTCTACACTTATTCAAATTTTTTTGAATATCCATAGACTCACGCCGAACAATTTGGCGACATAACATTCGTATATATTTGCACTGGGCTTTGTATGCACAACAGATCAGTGATGGGTTTTATTGATATGCACGATCTTGCGACGTGAATGAAGAATGAGAATTATTGGTTGGCACGAAAGAAATTTTCGCCTGACATTTAAGTGATTTTTTTTATCTTCAGCTTTGTAGTTGTGGAGAATCTCCGGTATATGATAGGCCAAAGGAATTATTTACCCACTCAACCGATCTACTTTGGCTACGAACTCGAGAACATTGTCACGCATAAGGTGAGTTTTATTTATTGTTACGTTAAGAGTAAAATGTTTTAAACTATTGAGAAATATATAATACATCTTTTTCTCAATACTGTACAAATACCAGGTAAACTACTTATGCTTTTCTCGCCCGATTTAGCCCTTTGTCCACCACCAGAGTGGTTACGTAATCAGTCGCGAGGCCTTGAGACGATACACAAATGCATCGAAGGATCCCGAGAATAAGGAATGCCTCCACTGGGAGGGATATTCTGAGGGACTGGATATGTATCGCTGTCTGAGCCATGTCAATGTAACCATAGTCGAAAGTCGGGATGAGTTGGGACATGAGACATTCTCTCCCATTCCAATGGACCACCAGTTCTTGAAGGGCTACAATGAAATTCATTGGCTCCGTAACTTAACATATCATAAGGTCCCTGAGGTAATACTCTATTTTTAATTAATTTTGCTTTAATATGACTTTTAATATTATTTTTAGAACACTGTGCCAATATCCGAGCGAGCCATTAGCTTCTGCGTAGCATATCCGCCGCAAATTTACGACTACTATTATTTTGTTTATCGAACGAAGATCTTTGGCACTCTCAGGCGAAACTCTATAGAATTTATGCCTTAATAAAGGACTCACCTATGGCAGCTGGTTATTAGTTTTCCTTCCTGACGTTTCAATTGCAAAGGGACTTTGGTTACTTCCTAGTAATACCAAGTAACCCACATATCATGTACTCCATCACATAATTCATTTCTCATACGGGAAAAGGGGAGGATAAACGTGTTCATCAACGAATCTGTCGTCTCGCCTGGAGTCTCATTTTCCCAGTGCCCTTTGTCTGTGCAAAATTACTTCCGTTTCCCTTCGATTTTTGTTTTTATTTTGCTCAACTGCAAAGTGTCATTGTTACAACATGTCTGTGGGGAAGGGAAATATCCGTATGAATGCAATATTGCACTTTTCCCTGCTTCCTGTAACCTTAATCATGTGTAGGCCTCCGTTTACCTGTTAGATGCCACAACTCATCTGGTAACTTGAGCACGTAAACTGAGACATTAGTATCCCACATAAGCAGAATATCGCTTACTTTTCACAGGTTCCTTGTTTTCTGTTTGACAGTTTCACATGAAATCCATAACTATGTATACTCACATATGTTTATTGAATTCTATACACAATTTGTGGATCTTTTGTTTTTGCCACAATGGAGGCGAGCGATTGAATAATCTTTTTTCTCATATATATTTGACAGTTGTTTGTTTTGTTGAGCAGGCCAAAAATAGATACAAGTATCTATGCAAATCTGGAAACGTGTTTGAATCGAATCAAGAGTTGTGGGCTCGTGTTCCATGGAAAGTGTCACAATATGGCCTAGGGAAAGGGTGAACAAAAGCGCCAGATGAGATAGTCAAGTAATCGATACTCCACTTTAAATTTGTGTGGTTTACGCAATATTTTATGAAATGACCAAACCCTTTCCGGACTCTCAAGTCGCCTCTCCACTTCCAACTGCAAAGTTTTGCATCAACCCGAAAGCCATTATCATGAATGAAAGACGATGGCGAAACGTCTTCGAAGCCCGAGTCGTCAGGTGGGTTAATAATTCTAATTGAAAAAGGCAATTTGTATGCGGCGAGCAAAGGGAAACCAAAGGCAGCACTGTCAGACAAAAGCACTCAATATAATTAAATTGACGACGGACCACCCAGCGCCGATAACTCCACCATCTGAACCCTCAGTGCAAGTAATAGTTTCAAAATGCCACGACTGTTCAGTTCACAGCACCGCTGCCTTGGCGGCAGGAATAGGTTTACCCTTTGTCGTGCCATTTCCTTGCTGCTCCTGGGCACTTTATGTTTTTTCACTGTGCTGCAAGTCCACAGGAATCTCCAAACCGAAGAGGTCGCGGTGTCTGCTGCTCCACCTCCACGGATTTTCTGCATAATTACGACCTTTGCGTACCTCCATAAATATGCCGCGATGCACATCCATCGAACTTGGGCCCCGCACTGCGATCACTACCTTTTTGTCAGTGATGATGTTGACCACTATTTGGAACCTGCGGTATTTATGAATCTGCACGACAAATGGCAACGGATGAGGGCCCATCTGGAATACGTCTACAAGTATCACTTCCATGAGGCGGACTGGTTTCTCTACGCCAATGATAATAAGTAATGTAGATGCGCTTGTCACTAAGAGGAACAACCTATTACTTATTAGTTGCCTTTTAGTTTCGTAGTTGTGGAGAATCTTCGTTATATGTTGAAGTCCTACAGTCCCGATGAGCTTATCTACTTCGGCTGCAAACTGCGGACACCCAACGGTCTGGTGAGTACTTTTAAGGTTCTTTGGTTATTACAGATTTTAAAATCTTGTTGTTAAAGTATATTACAATCCTTATAGCATGAAGTGCATTTAAATTTGTATTTAAATTCATTTATATGGGAACTGATAAAACTATCAAAACAAATTGTTTTTGTAACATAAATAAAATCGTAAACTTATAAAAAAAAAAGTATTAAGAGAAATGAACAATAATAAAATTTCTTTGATATTTTAATATAATTAAAGTTCGGCTTTAAGAAACTTATGAGTAACTTTAAAATTGTAGGTCTTTATGCACGGTGGATCCGGGATTGTCTTGAGTGCAGCTGCTCTGAAAAGATTTACACTAGATGCGATGACCAACGAAAGCATCTGCAGTTCGAAGGATAAAGGAGATGAGGCCACCGAGGAACTGGGTCGATGTCTCACCAATGTCAATGTGATACCTGGCAATAGTCGAGATGAGTGGCAAAGACACCGATTCCTGCCCTTCGATCCCGCTTTACATTTGGGAGGCCGCATGAACGAATCCATAGAGGTGCACAAATACTTCCTCGACCATTCCTACTACCCAGTAACTGATGTAAGTTGTAATCCCTTATTTTATTTCATTCTTAATTCGAATGTTTTGCAGATGAACTTGCCGGTTTCTTTGCGATTTATTTGCTCTCTGACAAGTACCCCTAGTATCATTTATAACTATTACTACTTTACATATAAGGTTCGAAGGTTTGGAGTGCCACTCAATTTTGAGTCTGGAGAGATTCAAAGAAAGATTGTAGCACAAAAATATATGAAATAGCATACAAATACAAAAACTCTTACTCTTAAATTAAAATACACTAAAGATAATTCTGAGATGATTGTTTTAAACAAAATGCTAAAAAAAACTAAATTATTTAAAAATAAACTAAATACGAGGAAGTTGTCATCGTTGACAAGATCATGGCAAGTTTGTTTTTTTTTCCATTGTCTAAAGACAACGTTTAATGCGTCTTGACATTGTCCCAAAAATGGTGCAATCTTTCGTTGTTTTGGTAGCCGAATTTCCATTGCTGCTTGGAGTTTTTCGGATCGCAGTCACCCGTGGTAACGGCATGTATTTCCGGCTGCACCTCCAAGCAAAGTCTGGAGTCCTGCATCTGGCCAGAGATCACCTGGCGAGTCTTGGGGTCGAAGGACCAGAACTGATTCCCCTTCTGCCGGTGGCAGTGATAGATATAGACCTCCATTCCCTGGTTGCGGACCTCCAAGCACAGCAGTCCTGATTGCAACTCACGATGATTGGTCAGGGTCCAGTGCAGCTCTGATCTCGGAAATACCCGATCTCCACTACAGGAACTTAACTTGGGTCGACCAGGTCGACTTTCTGTGCGATCCAAACAGAGCTTCGGCGAAGACACACTCTGCAACACCCCTGTGGCGTATTCGGCGGGGTCTATTATGGGGTACAAATTCAGGAAATCTGCTGCCAAGTGATCCAAAAACCATTTGAATGGCTTTACAGTGAAGGCGCTTCCTAAGGTCTCGTTGCTCGGCAAGATTCCCAGCCGGAATCACAGTTAGATGCGGCATATTAGCAAACACCTTATCCTTCAATTCATCCAACCACACCTCAGCCACTCGTCGGTAGTTCTGAAAGGATTTTACGTTTTAGTCATATACCATATGCTTAACATCTTTATTTAAGGCTTAAATTGCCAAAGGCTCAACAACTTATTAAGAACGGTTAATAAAACAATAAAATAAAATAATCCAACACAAATTATGAATATACTTTCATAGCTTTCAAAGATTATTCTTACCCTTTGAATAAGTTTCTTCTCACTATTTTTGTCCTTATCGGTATAGCGAATCTGGAAATTGCCGTCTCTGTAAAGGTGACCGATCCTGGAGCAGGGAACCTCGAGAATCTGCCCTCCACACAGCCATAACTTAAGGCTCAGCTCGAGCTGCTCGCCTCCCCAGATCTTCAGTCCCTTGTCATAGCCACCAAGCTCGGCGAACCACTGCCGGCCGATGGCGAAGAGACCTCCATTCATGATGGGATTTTTGTGGGGCGCCGGCATGGCCACCGCCTCCTCCTTGAGGAGCGGCAGCTGAATGTAGTTAAGTTGCCAGTTGAAGAAACCCCTCGATGGCTTGCCCCTCCTGTAGGCGAAGGTCTCATAATCAATGGTGTCAATAATCGGTGTGGTGCAGGTCCTGTTGCTCGTCAAAATGGGAGCCAGGAGTGGCTCCAGCCAGCCGTGGGTGACCTCCACGTGGGAGTCCAGGAAGACCAGGACATCGGCCAGGGCAAGATTAGCGCCCGTGACACGGGCCTGAATTAGACCCACCTGCGTGGAGATCCTGTGGTGCTTCACCATATTGAGGAACTTGATCTGCAGGAAGTCGTTGAGCTTCTCGTCCACCGAACTGCTGCCGTCGTCCACCAGGATGATCTCCCGGAGCAGCAGGACCGGCGTCCGACTCCTCAGGCTGCTCAGCGTTCGCAGCAGCACGCTCGCCTCCTCGTTGTGATATGTTATCACCACACTGACCGACGGGAGCTTTTCCAGCGGATACTTGAGCTTTTTACAGCTGTCGAAAGATCGCACAAGTCAGAGAGTCTTATAATCTCGCCAGTGATGCCGGTGTAGCTTCTTTTCTTCAGATGCTGATAGCCTGCTTACATTTTTAAGCTTACACTTGTTTTTTATGGGAAAGAAATGGAGCTAAGAAATCAAATCTAGGAACCTTAATGAACAAAACTAATAATTGGAAGCATGTATAACAGTAAATATGTTAGTTTTTCAAATTGTTTTTAACAAATATGTTAAAAATATGAAGTAAAGCCAAATTATGTGTTTTTCTATTTTTATAAAATCGTTGCAACTTTAAAGTACATTCATGTATCATCAAATATCCAGTCTGGATCATCAGTCTTGTAACTGCTAAATTACTCAGCTTGCTCAATGCACAAAAATAGTATGCTTCTAGAATAAGTTGCGAATTATAACTTCTTTCGTACGTATTGAAATAGAGTTAACTATTAGATTAATTTCAAATTATTGACCTAAGTCAATCCTAAATCTCGTAAAATCAAACCGATCTTTAAAATAAATAAATTTCTTGAATCAATTTTAAAAACTATCTTAAAATAAAGTGTTCATTAGTCCATTTGTACTTTTCCGATTAACAAAATAAGCTTAGCGCCTAAAAGATTCGTTCCTTTACTTTGAAATTTGAGTTTATCTTTGAGATTTTGTTCGTATTAAAGTTGAATAATACATCGCAATCAGCTTAATCAGATTCTCCCTCTCTGGAAGCACCGGCACCACTGATCGCACTCTTATACTGCCGTCGATCGCCTCTTTTCCAAAGCTCTCGAAGCTCGTTCTCGACCCACTCACCTGCGATGCCGCATGTCGTACAGAGTTCGCTCAGGTGAGATGCGCTTTGAGAGCCAGGCGTTGTAACCCGTTTCCCGCTGGCTCTTTGCGATGGCCTCCAGTTCCTCAGTGGTCCAATTGCCCCTCGCCGGACGGCCCAAAGCCCCGAGTTGGGGGACAACCTCCGACTCGAAAACCGCCTGCAGATCGCTTATCTCACGCTCCAGGCGTGACGTCGTCGAAGATACGTTTGCGTCACGCTCCCGCTCCAATTTCAGCGTGTATAGGTAGTAGAAGATACTGCCACTGGCCATCAGCAGTAGCAGCAGCAACACCTTCTTCCTCTGCCTTAAAATATCCAGGCACATCGTATCACAGAAACAAGCACAGCCGTTCGGCACGGTAAACAATAACTTTCGGCTTAAACCGCGCAGCGTTTTGGCCAAGACTGAAGCTGGCCAGTTGAGCATGTGATGAGAGCGGTCTTCTACGCCAGTAATCCCATCTTATACGCTGAGAAAGTTTTCGATTCGGTGGCTCAATGAACCGATCAGAGGCGGGCCCATTTAAATTTCGAGGCTAAGTGTTATGGGTACAGATTGGCAGGGAATTGCAAAAGTAAAAGAAATTAATAAATCTTAAAGTCTTTGAGTTTGTGCGAAATGCATACAACATACAATCTTTGTATCTCTTATATAAATGTAACCCGGTTATCTGATATACAAATATTCTTTAAATGCTTTTTAGCTTATTCTTTTATTGAAATATTATATCTTAAATACAAATATTAAATTTTAATTGTAGGCGAAGTTTTAGAATCCCCTTAGCTGCTTCTACTTCCATTTCCCTATCGAAGTAATTTGTTTTACTTTAACCACATTAAAACAGAGCTTAAAGCCGTTTAAAGCATACTATTTGCAGTGCTTAACTAAGAATGAAACTGATAAGAATGAAAACATTGATGTTTGGTACACCTTGCACCTGTGTGATCTTCTGCCTAGTATACTGTATAATTTCTCTTATTATCTGGCTTATGTACACGGATAACTTATCAAGAGCGACCGTGGACTTTGGGTACTTTTCAATTGAACATTTGGGTGAACTGGGAAAAGAAGCCCATTTGCAAATGACGAAGAGAGACCTTGTAGATGCTGAAGAAAGGTTCACTTTATATGAATACAACGCCTGGCTCTCTGAAAGAATTCCGTTGAAACGAACTCTGGAGGATTATAGAGATGCGAAGTGAGTAGAGTAATATTTTAAATATATAGCCTCCCGTGCAAGGTATTACTGTTCTCAGATGCCTTAACATCAGCTACAGTTCGGAGGGAAGGGTTACAGCTAGCATTATTATAGCAACTCAACTGGAACATCCACATACTCTGCTGAGGACCATCCACAGCATTGAAGCGCAATCGTCATCCCACATTATCACTGAGATAATACTGGTTCATGAAGGAACTGCCGATGAAGATGTGTTTGAGTACATCGCCAATAACCTACCTATGGTAATACAACTGGAAGTTCACAACTCAAAGGGACTCATTCACGCTCGTTTGGCCGGAGCTAAGAAAGCGACTGGTGATGTCCTCATATTTCTCAATTCCCACATGGAGGTCACGAAGGGTTGGCTTCCTCCGCTACTGGAACCCATCATGCTGGACAGAAAATCAGCCACTCAGCCCGTTATGGATGCCATATCTAGAGAGACTTTTGCCTACCAAAAGGTGGCAGAGCCTGAACAAATGGCATTCGATTGGCAGTTGGAGCGTATCTGGTTGCCCTTGGATCTGTTCTCCATGAAGAACCTACCAAATCCATTCGCATCCTCCCAACTGGAGGGACGTGTTTTCGCCATAGATCGCAATTGGTTCTGGAAACTGGGCGGATGGGATGAGGGTCTCAAGGACAATGGTGGCGATGCCCTGGACCTCAGCCTCAAAGTGTGGCAGTGTGGTGGTCGCATTCTCACGATTCCCTGTTCTCGTGTAGGACTCATCTATAAACGGGATGAGGCAGAGGCTCAGTTGGCTCCCAATAGAAATCGCAATAAGCAGGTCAAAAAGGTAGGTAAATATTTCCTTAATTATAATTTACCTTTTAGGATACCAAGCACGGACAAAACCATGTTACACAGTTACAATTACTTTTTATTCGATAATTCAACTACTTCTCACACAATAAATTAACTCTATAATTATTGACTTTGTTGTTAAATATTTCATACTGTAAACGGTTGAATCAGCCACACATATACGTTACATCTTGTCCTAGTCCTTTTTTCCTTGCTCGTTATTAAGTAAAAAACATCTTAGTAACTGTAAGTACTAAATGTAAACTAACTATAAAAACTGTAATACTTTTATTTCTCTCCCATTTATTTATTTATATATCCCACCCGATTGTTTAATGCAAAACCGGAATACTTTTGTCTTCCTTTTAAGTCTTCTTTTTTTAGAAATTTTTTTTGTTTCCATTTCAGAACTTTAAAAGGGTTGTGGATGTATGGTTCGACGAGTATAAGCTCCATTTTTATCGGTATAATCCAAGTTTAAGAAATCTTTCTGCTGAATCTTTGGATGGACCACGAGCTCTACGTCGACGCCTTAATTGCAAGTCGTTTGGATGGTACAGAAGCCAAGTGGCGCCTCAATACAGAAACCATTATCTTCATGCCGGACTTTCCAACTATGCGATCGGTAAAATAATGTCCTTTGTGACGCCAAATTATTGCCTATCAATCAAGGGAGACGTTCCAATCATGAGGAAATGCAATTCAACCAATTTCGAAGACTGGGCACTGACGCCTAGCTGCCAACTGAAACTTGGTCAGAAGTGTCTGGATGTGGACTCAAAAAATAACGTGAAGGTTTCGAGGTGCACCAAAAAGGTACCAGAATATCCATGGCAATATAGTTACCAGCACAGGTCATTTGTTAGTGTTGAAAAAAAATGTCTGCAAATTGGTGCAAAGAAGGGCGACCTTAGTTTAAGAACTTGTGACTCAGAAATGAAGAGCCAACGTTGGATGTACACTGGGGTGCAGGACTCAAGCCTAGACCACACCTTGGATGTTTGTTTAAATGTAAAAAACTAAATTTTTTAAGCATACCTAATTATTTCAATCCCAGTTTTATATGAATAAGATTGCTTACCGAAACTTTTTTCTTTTGAAACTCGTAATATAAATTCTAAGATAATTTGTTCGCGTAGTTTACTTTTTGAAATATAAATAATGTAAAACAATAAAAATAAAGGCTTTAAGAAATCTACACTAAAGAATGTACTGATAACGTACCCACCTCAGTTTTCTGCTTAATTTGTTGCAAAGACTCTGGAAAATGTTTTTTAACTCTCGCTTAAATCCTTACACTCCAAAAAACGCAATTACGTCTTGATCACATCTTATTATTTCTTATTATTTCTTTGCCTTTCTATAGTTCATTGAAATGATTCACAAATTCGTTCAGGCTGACCTGGCAGAGTCAAAAGTAGTAGGAAGAAACACTAAAATGATTGGAATTTCAAGCCGCTTAATGAGTTCTTCTTACCACATTTTTCGGAGCAGAATCCATTGTACAAAATCAATCAAAATTAAAATGAATTGCAATTTATAAGCTCAAGAATGTAATAAACAAATAGTTTTTAAGCCGTTATCTGAGAATAACTTAATAAAAGGCCTGAGCTCCATGGTATAACCTGTTATGGTCTGCTCATAGTCAAAGGTATTTAGCTAAAGCCAGGCCAGTTCATTTAGCAAACTTTTCCGTGTACAGATCAGTCAACGGGCACCATTGTTAGTTCCAATCCTGTCTTACGGGCAGTAAGTCAGGTCCTGATCCATTAGGTCCTTTAAACTATAAATTACTCGTTGGCATGATAGCCAACAAACTAATCGCTTTACTCGCGTACATCATGACCATTTTTCTTAAAGGTTTGTGTTGAGGTGGTGGGCAACAGTAAAAATTATATTAAGTAGATTTATATTAAAATGTTTTATGATATACAGACTCCAAGGTTAAGACAACAAAACGAAACCCAAAAACCGAAATTTACGGAATATGCTATTAAATGTAGCAGCCTTTATCAAGGGGTTAAAATACATTTTCAGATTTTTATTGTGTAAGCAAAACCATTCACAATTTTGTTTTTAATGTATAATAAAGCGTGATTTGTTGAATTTTGAGTCATCATCAAACCAAGGTATAAAACTGAACTGTATTTAAATTTTGCCAAAAATATCGGATTCACTGATTCCATATTCGTTCAGAAAGTTGCGTGACATTTGGTTAATTTTCTCCTGACTCTCGGAACTTAGCTCATCCTCGTAGGAGCCAACAATGCCACGGCGCAGGAATCTAATCACAGAATAGGTTTAGGTCTTAAATTGCAAGTTAATATAAAACTTACTCAAACTTATTGGTGGGCTGATGACAATCTTGCAGAAATGTGGTGTGGTTGCCAAACTTGCTCCCTAAAAACAGAATTTTCTTTACATAGATAAATTCACACCGCTTTTATGCAGTCTACTCACTTTTCATATTCTCAAAGCTCAAGTGGTTAATTAGTTCCTGCATTTCACTATCGGTCAGCTCTTTGCAACATAAGAAATTTGAGAGTCTTTTGATCACATCTTCAAGATCTCGTTTCATTTCCTCGTAGGTAACAAAAAAAATATTATCCTCGTCGCGCATTCTATAAAAGTCGATAACGTGCGCCCAATATGAAGTAAAGCCAATCTTATCTGCGATAAAATAGTCCACAAATTCATCCAAACTGCATTTGGAATAATTCAGTTCAGTCAAGAAGTGATATGTAGAAACCACGACATCCTTCGGATTTCCAGCCACGTAGATAGTTTTAAGTCCATGCGTCCAGATTCCTCGAGGCAGAAGTTGTGCAGGTAAATGGGATTTAAGTAGGCGAGGATTACTCTGAAGTTTATCACACGCATCTATCGAATCCACTTTTGTCGTACTAATAACGCCCGAACGCCTAAATACCAAAAATTTTATTTAGATCTGTATTTAAATCGGAAGATTAACTCACTCTAAATAGGGACTGCGCACCATACCATAGCTTTTCTGGGCTTGCTGAAAGTCCAGTTTGTTTAGCAGAAGCCAAGCCAGTTCCTGCACCCAAGTAGAACCCGTCTTCATCAAGGACACGACGAAAACATCAGAGCTCCGTGTTTCGAAGTCATGGATTCGCTTCGCAAACTCATCCGTATATTCCTCGGTTAGTGTGCACCATCGTTGCATCCAATCCTGTTTCAAGGGTATCCATTCAGGACCTAGTCCGTTTGGTCCATTAACCCCCAATTGAATCATCGGAGCGGTGGGCCCCTGCCCAACAAATTTTTTCGAGTACATGATTACTGCACCTCAGATGATCTTTCACTATTTTCGCTAGCAGTCGGGGCTGACTATTTATTTAATCATCACAAGAGATTTGATAAGATATACATAAAATTATAGCAATTATCATCAAAAAAATGTACTATATGTATAACTACTAAGAAATTGCAAGATCAACAAAAAGCGAAAGCGGTTTGCGATAAAATCTAAGAAAAACCTTGATAGAAAGAAAACTTTGGCAATCCGAATTTTGCATACCCTTGCACCCATTACGGAAATGCAATATTCTATAAAATGGCTACATCATGAGAATATGTTCAAAATCAATAAAGTTATTTTCTGATCGATCGTTTCTATGCTAGCTGGGACTAATAGACTTGATTTCTGAAAGGGACTAACTTTTATAAATATGTATCTTTAACTGAAAGTCTTCTGAGACTCAAGTTTCTCAAGTTTTAAAATAAACAAGAAATGAAGCAAACTTCGGCAAGCCGAAGTTTTTGTACCCTTGCAGTTATTACAAAACGACTACATTTTGATTTCTAGGCCTATATTACTAAAAACAATGAAGCTATGTCGATTTTGCGCTGCATTTTGCTATCGTTTCTTTGGCAGCTATATGATCCTTGTTATTATAAAAACAAAATACTTTTATTTTTTTTATAATCAAATTTTTTATTAAAAAAAAGTAATTAGCACAAAAAATATTCTTAATTAATGTTTGAATTTAATTTTAATTTAATAATAAAAAAATTGTTTTTCGTCTATTTTTCTAGAAATAACGTCAAATTTTCTTGAATTTAAAAAATAAAAAATTCATTTTTAACCAATATAGATATTTTAAGATTAATATATTTCAAGAACGATTTCTTCCCAAAGATCAAAAAAGTTATTATGAAAAAATTTTTTTGTCTTTCGAAACTTAATATTTAACCATAGATATATCTTATGGTCTTTATACAGACATATATAGACCAAATCGAACTTTGCGGGTATCAAGATTTGCGTAGTTCTCGAAGGCAACATTTTGTTTTTGTTTTATTAATAATGTATAACCATACAAGTCTTAGCTCTTCGAGGTTAAGAGTAACTTAACTTAACTTAACTTACCAAAAAAACAAAATACAAATAAGTGCTTTACTTAATCTTTCCTAAGTATTTACTGATAGCATAACTCATAGATTTAAATTATCAAGTATCCACCTCTGTTTTTTGTTTGATCTGTTGCAAAGACTTAGGAATAAATTTAGTTTAACTCCCAATTCCAGACACCTCGTACTGCTCACCAGTTGATTGTTGACCACATCATAGTGCCAACTCTGACGACCTCCAAGATTGTGGCAGAAATTGTATTCCAACTTCAGATTGGGTTGCACTTCGGCACAAATAGTTCCCCCAACTCGCAGATCGTTGAGATAGGTTAGTGTCCAGTTTTTTAGAGTATTATTTGCATTGCATGGCTCCAGACCGATAAGTTTGCTTTTGGCATTGACTGTCAAACAGCTTTTGGGAAATTCTAGAGGCTTTAAATATCCTGTGGCGAAATCCGTACGATTTGTCGGCAATAATTGTTTTAGTTCCGGCATAACTTCGTTAATAAACGACTGAAAGGACTGGCAGTCATATTGCTGGTATAATTTCCGAGATTCACTGAGATCGCCTTCAGATACATTCAAGAGTTGGGGCTGGTATTGATAGATGGCCGATTTTAGAATAGGGCTATCTATCCACAGTTCCACAATGCGTTTAAGGTTCTAAAAAATAGGTATTAGGCGAATTTAAAAATTGACCTTAATAATATTTTACCCACCCTTGAGGCTTGAAGTCCCATTTTGTTGAGGTCACCATATCGCTTTAGATAGTTTTGATCTTTGGGCTCCAAGTGGCCTACTCTGGAGCAGGGAACTAGAACTATACGTCCACCACTTCGCCAAACTTTAAAACTAAGTTCTAGCTCAGCGCCACCAAAACCTCGCAGTTCCTTGTCGAAATTCGAGAGGTCCTGAAACGAAAGTGCTCGAATAGCAAACACGGAAGTCCTTACGGCAGCCACTTCATAAGGTCTGGGCAGACGCATCCTTCGAGCTTTTGAAAGCGGAACTTCCCGGCGCCTCAAGCTCCAATCGTAAATTCCACGCCTCTCGGTTGAACGAAGGTAGGCCAAAGTTTGCTCATCAAGTTTATCCAAAATGGGAGTGGCCAGGGTCAGACTTTGCTCCGAAATTGTGTTAAGTAATGGGGTCAACCAGCCTTCGGTAAACTCTAGTTGGGCATCCACAAAAACCAGATTATCCGCCTTGGCTTCATTGGCGGCCAAAATACGAGCTTTGATTAGGCCCACTTGTTCATGGAGGTGTAATATTCGGGCCTTCGGATAAATATATCTGTGCACATAGGTGTCGAAAAAGAACACCGAAAATTGTTCGTTCCAGAAGTCCGAATCACTATGATCGTCGACTAGAATAAGTTCGGAATAGAGATGTCTTGGAGTCCTGTCCACCAAACTATGTAATGTTCTAAGCAGAACCACGAGTGGCTCGTTCCGGAAGATCAATATAATGCTGGCTGGTCGCATTTCATCGGGATCCTCGTCGTATGTGAAGTTCAGGCAACGGGGATCTCGAAAGTCTGGCAAAGACCGCCATATAGATATTTTCTCTGCCAACCAAGCGTTATATGCATATCGCTGCCAACCCTGCGTATACGCATCGATTTCCGCTGACGGAACACTCAAATACGAGGCAGTTCCGTTTTCTCCAAGTCCGGGATGAGACAGAGATCCCATCAGTCCATCCCAACGGCTAAGTTGTTTGTGCAACAGTAAAAGCATCAGCAAAATCCACAGGGGTAAAGCCGCATATTTCAACCAGTGGTAATTTGCCACAGCAGCTGAAACTTCCATGTCCAAGTAGCAACTGATCGTTTAAAAGCCAATTTGTGTATTTATATTTAAATACTTCATGCTTCTCTTTAGGCGTAACATATGCATTGTTCCAGTATTCCACTGCATTGTTCACTGAAAAAATTGTTTTTTAAGAATACATTTCATTATGCTAAATGAAATACATTAAGATTAAAAATGAAAAACTAATATTTATTTTTTAAGTGACTTTTAAATAAATCATAAGAAATTTATAAAAATAAGCAATTTGTGAGACAAATTAAAATAATATATCTTTGAATTAAACAATTTACACAATTATTTATAAACCACAATGATCAAAAACGGTGTGTTAATTTATTAATCTTATCCTTGCTCTAAGAACTTAACTAGTACTACCCAAAAATTGCATGCCGCAAAAAACTAAGTATAAATGGGACTTAACATAATTTAATATCATACTAGATTGCGACTTAAAACCTTTGCTAGGAGGTTTTGGAAAGTTACGAGCACGGCAATGGGGTTGACAAGTCGCTTTCCGAAATTCTAATCGCTTTACATTTTCTCAATAACAACAATTTTAATCAATCTACAAATTTTTCATATTTTCAAAACTCAGGTGGTTTAGGAGGTTCTTCAGTTCACTTTTTCTTATTCTTTGCAGTTTAAAAACCGCTGTAAATCTGAACCACCTATAAAAGTCGATAACGTGCGCCAAATTCGAAGTAAGTGCAGTTTTAACTCTATTGAAATGTTTCTTAAAGTCGCTTAAACTAGCCTGGCAGAAAACAAACCCAAGAAAAAAATGGTAGAAAGAAGTTATAAGATCCTTGGAATTTCGAGCCACGTAAAACCGATGTGGTTCAATCAGTAAATTATCTACATTTTATCATAAGTAGGTATTAAATAATCTTCAACAGAATAGTTCATGGTACAAAAGCTAAACAAACTTAATTTAATGGTAATTTAAAATATCAGGATAGAAAATCTTTTTTTAAAATAATTTTAAAGCTCAATAAAGCCCCCCATTCATAGCTCTTTACGGTCTTCTATTATTTATTTTGGATTCTTCCGAATAAGTCTCCGAAAGTCAGCAACACCGATTGCTTCAAATCTTGTTTTAAAGTATCCCATTCGGGTCCTAATCCATTAGACTCCTTGCACTGCAGCTTAATGATTGGCTTGGAAGGCAAAGACGCTATTGGCTTACTTAAGTAAATACTGTAGAAAAAGCGGCGGTCTTGATCAGCTGACAAGAAAGTAGTTACTGCTTAAAGTTTATTATAATTTTATTCAATAATTTATTCAATATTATAATTACATTAATTTTTTTATTTAAGTATAAACAAAGTTTCTATTCCGGTAAGCGAAAACAGCTTCTTCCTAAGAGCCGACGCTATCATCCATTTTTCCAGCTCAACCGCAGCCACTAGAGAATTCCCACCCCACTCACCTGCCACATACGTGCGCATTATGCATCCATCATTACTCATGCCATAAACGGAATCCACTTAATCTCGCAACGAAACATCCAAACATTTATTAAAGACATCGCACGACGAGGGTTGCCTTGCCCGCCCCAGAGATCCCTTCTTCCAAATCTCCAAGATATTCAGCAAAAACTGCAACAAAAGGTACAATTTATAGTTCGACACCCTTGCCGGATGAGGCCAACCCCCAAGATTCAGGGGGAGCGCACGCCAAGGACATTGGGTGGGTGGTGAAAATGAATTTGCCGCCGCCCCAAAATTTGGCAAAGACCTTGAAAAAAAACGGAAAGCGAAGGGGAGTTGCTTTGGGGGGCTGGAGGTGAGTGATAGAACTTTAAGCTCAAACGCCCGGCCGTATGCAATGAATATTTACGACGGGGTCCTCTGAGGATTACATTGTCGGGCTTTTGGCCTGGGGCTTTATGCAATTGTGCGCAAGTAAAAATCTAATTTATCCACCCACCACCCAGCGTTTTGTTTGACAATTGCCTGAAATGATGGCAATGCATTGGCATGAGTTTTGGGTCTGCCGGCACGTAATTCTTCCGGGGGAATTCCCCCACAAAGTGGGCTGGAAAAATCGCTCCGCTTACGCATATCAATGCACCCTTTTCGGGCTACCGAAGTCGAGGTCCGAGGATTTGGGGTGGCTTTCCCAAGATCTGGGGTGGGTGGTTGCTGGGTGGGTGGTGGTTCGGTGGCTCTGCGGTGCGAAGGTCCCAGTCCTCATCATAACACCACATGTTCCGAAATTCAACGGCGACGTGGCGTCTACTTCATGTAGATTTCTATCTATTCTATTGTCTGACTTTGTCGCGTGGTAAATTTCAGCATTCATTTCGTTTGATGAGGCGCAAAGTTGTGGAATTTATTGCGTACGGGAAAGAAGTTAAGTGGATTTTACGTAAATTAATGAGTTTGCCTCGGGGGTTGATGGCAGCCAGAGGCTATTTAAATTGCTATACAGGAGGTTGTTCGTGGGTTATGGAATGCTGGTAGTGGCAATGATTGCATAGGATCGCTAAACGGATCGTCCGAGGATCCGCATCCCCCTGCAGTTATTGCTCTGCTGATTTATGCTGCAAATAATAAACATCAACTGAATGCAGTAAAACATTAAGAGCGCCATCAGTTGGTCATTCTTCTGTCGTCAGTGGCTGCACTGAGAAAAAATAGTTTTAAAGAGCTTGCCTAGAACATGCAAGTGATTTCTTAACAAGGAAATCTGCACAGATTTTTATACCCTTGCAGAGGGTATTATAATTTTGGTCAAAAGTGTGCAACGCAGTGACGGAGACATCTCCGACCCTATAAAGTATATATATTCTTGATCAGGATCACCTCCTGAGTTGATATAAGCATGTCCGTCTGTCCGTCTGTCTGTCCGTCTGTCTGTTTCTACGCAAACTAGTCTCTCAGTTTTAAAGCTATTGAATTGAAACTTTGCACACAGCCTTCTTTCCTTTGCACGCAGTATATATGTCGGAACGGCCGGGATCCGCCGACTATATCCTATAGCTGCCATATAACTGATTGATCGGAAATGCCATAACTTTGGTGTTTGTAAAGTTAGGAAGTTGGGATTTGCTATGGGCTTTATTTTTAGCCAATCAATCCGACCTATCAAATTTCATAAGGATCGGCTGACTATATCCTATAGCTGTCATATAACTGAACGATTGGAAATGCCATAACTTTGGTGTTTTTAAAATTAGGAAGTTGGGATTTTTTATGAGTATTAAGAATGCATCATATGAATAATTTTGGAGAATATAATTTACAGAGTATTCTGCAAGGGTATATCAACTTCGGCTCCGCCCAAAGTTAGCTTTCCTTTCTTGTTTATATATATTTTATTTTATGTATTTGCTCTCAGAATTTGAATTCTCTTAAAACTTCAGTATTTCCACGGCAATGATTACTAACACCTTAGTCTTGACTGTGCCGTTTTTCTCCCTGTGCAGTCATCATAGTGGACATACAAAGCACCCACAATAAATTTCACTTATCAAAGTTTTCGCTAGCCGGTGCAGACCAAAATTCGAGCAAAGGAAAGACGCGACGAGGGCCATTCAAAAAGAGCTGAAAAGAAACCACGACGACGACTAACTTTATTGCACAGCCCCAGATACAGATACTCGTCCTCGACGCACAGGAGGCGAAAGGCAAGGCTGCGGGAAAATTAAATGTCTTTTGTCAACAGACGTTGCGAAAGGAACACTGGCAGGAGTCGGCGGATGGAGGAGCAGGATCTGGGCAAAGACAACGAAAGGCGAACGGACAATGACGCACTTTTCGGCCAGAAGTTTGCCCACTCTGATATGCATTAAAAGCGATTCGAATGGAGGAGGGTGATGGCGATGGTCGATGGTCGATGCCATAGCCATGGAGAACTCCAATGGAGCGCAGAGCAATCTCGCTGTGCAAACTGGCATCATAATGGGCCACTTATCATGGCAATCACTCAGCAGTCAGTCGGGGAGCTTGCCTCTGCACTGAGAAAAATATCACGTAAATAGGTTATTGATTCGGTATTTATCCGCATCAGAAGGACTCCTTTCTGTGAATCACCTTTTTGGTTTTTTGAATTCTTAGTCGGATACTAAACGCTAAAGGTAAAATAAAATGACATTTTTAAGTAATTCAGCAATGGTTTTGATTTTTTAATTTGTTGTAATACTTTATTAGTGTATATTAATATTTATAAAAATTTGATCACTTAAAAATATTTTGGAAACAATTTTATTTGAATTTATTAGATTGATATAAATCGCAATTTGCATATCCAAAACTTCCAATTTGTCATTATCATATTCATATTTATTAATAATATATGTGATTGAAATTAATCAGAATTTTTTTCTGTTTGGGTAAAGAGTGCAACTCCAGCGTTATGTTCATGGACACCCCAGAGTTTCGCTGCCAACTTTGCTTTACTACTTTCCGATACTCAATCGTCGTTTGCCTTTTAATACTTTGGGCAAACACATTAAATGGAAATTTCGTGCAAGACGACCAACACCACCATCCTTTGGCACAACTGAAGAATAGGATGTCCTGGGGGTGGAGCTTTTCGGACTGATTTTCCGGGAGTGAGGGTGAGCCATGCAAAGTGCCGGCATTTTTGGCAAACAGCAAACGCATTTTTCATGTGACATTTGCAAAAAAAAAGGAAGCAAAACAAACTTTCGCCCAAGCGTAGGACTTTCAGCCGACTGTTTGATCTCTTCACATTGCATTGCTTTACTAGGTTTTTTTCCCCCAATTCCCCATCTTTGCCGGCCTGGGAAATCCTTGCGTCAATATGACCGAAAAACAGTTTGGACATTTTTTCTCGTTTCGAGTGTTTTATAAATAAAAGTTCGCTTTTTCCCACTCCGCCTGGCTAGCTCTGAGGAAAAAATGTCTGTGTGTTTACTTTGAAAATTGCTGTGATTCGGGGCAGTTCGTTTGCATTCCTTGGAACCAAGACCAAAAAGGGAGGAACTCAAGTGGCGTCTCTTAAGGGGGTTTAAAATTGAATGATTGTTG